TAACCAAATGATAAAGCAGAAAGTGAAGTCAAAAACTTGGTATTAAATATTAAACGTCTGTTATGTCTGTCAGGGCCAGCAGTTGGAGCCAACTGAGTTGGTTTCAGAGGAACCAGTCACAAAGAGCACAGGTATGCGTTGATTCAACATAGCCTGTGCTTCAGCTGTCAATTTACAGATGGTGTAAATCCATTACTAGCCTTTCCACACAGGATTTGGCCATAAGAGCTTTCATGCTATTCAACAATGCAGAGGCCAGTTTACACTGTTAAAAAGGAGAAACCTTTATTTTTTTTAAAGACCATTAAAATAAATACTATACAGAATCCAATGTAGAAAACTTGATACACTGTTTCTGTCTCAAAAAAGGTTAACAATTCCGTAAATTCATTTTAAAAAATAGCACTGACTATACACCCCAAAACATGACAGTTCTCCTAAACCAGACACCAAACCCCATGATGACAGGCATTTTAATATGAGAGCGCTTAGAAAGAGTAGAGATTTCAGGGGTGGGGATCTCTATATACTTAATCATCTGTAGTTTGGTCCTTTCATGTCAAACGCGCCCTGCCCACCCCACCCCCCCAACATTTTGGCGAGGTAGGTTACAAAAAGTCACCACCACTTATCAAAAATCCAATATTTTGTTTAAAAATAAAATCTAAATGAACAATAACGTCAAAGAGAGATGAAAATCCAACCAGGTCGTCAGGGTTAGGAGGCAAAGTCTCCACAAAACTCACCGTTGTTTTTGCCTCCAAACATCTGTGGCCCCCAGTCAGTCAGTCTTCAACTGAATGCTACTGCACAAATGACTGTACAAGTCAAGCAGTATGTACAATAGCAATAAAAAAAATATATATATATGAAACAGCAGTAAAAGGATCAAAATGGTAAACAACTCATTCATGATGGATTTTACTATACAGGTCTTTTTATTGAATATGCCCTGTGTACTCTAGCCCCCAAACCTGTTCTTAACATGATCATGGATGTGTGTTAAAGGCCGTTTTAAGTACACTGAAGGTTGTTTAAATACTGATCTGGTCAAATGCAGCATTTCCCCCATTCAATTTAGATAATTGTTTAGATCAGTGTGTTGACTCCAAACTTGTCTAAACCATTCATCCATCACTAGCAGTGCAGCACCTGAGACACTACAGGTACAAATCACAGCCACATTTCTCAAAAGCTTCAATCAACTTTGTGTTAGCACTGTGTATGTCACCAGCTGAGCAAAGATGTAATAAGCTTTTGCTAACAGAGCCATTAACAAACAAAAAAAAAAAAAAAAAAAGTGAGCTTTGTAAATTTGTATTTTGTAATTATGTTTTTCAATGTGCTTTCGGAAACAGGGTTATGTTTTGCACTTGTCAGACCCAGTTACAACCTCACTCATTTTTATGTTAAAAGTCCTCTGTTTAAGACATCAATGTGGTTCAAATTAATGCTTTAAGTTTGAGAGTAGAGAGATCAGCTGCAGGAGGAATTCGGGTGCCAATGTGGGCTAATGGAATATGGCGAGCAGACGAAGCAGGCCAGTAATTCATCCTTTCACGATGGCCCAAGACTATTTCAAAGGTTGAGAAGGAATAATGGCTGCATTCTTCCTTCCTGCTGAGGGTAAAGTCATGGTGGAATTTAGCAAAAGAAAGTTCTTAGAATTCAGATCGTATAAGAAACAAGGTTTGACTTCTAAAATAAGCGGGGTGGGGTGGACGAAGGGCGTGTGGATTCTTCTAGATAAGATCAGCCACATTCATGGGCATCTCCTCAACGGTGGTGTTGTAGAATGTCTCAATGTCCCTCAGGGTTCGCTTGTCATCCTCAGTCACCATGTTGATGGCTACTCCCTTTCTGCCGAAACGACCACCCCGACCAATCCTGACAAAGGAAAGGAGAAAAAAAAAGTTAATTCTGTTAGACTCAGCCAAGAGCCTCTAGCAGTGGCAAGTTGTATCTGGATTCATTTTCACATCATACAGGATGGAAAACAGATGCAAGTGTTTACAGACATGAGGTTTTTGACTTGAGTGTTCAACTACTAAAGACAGACATTTAGAGTTTGGGCACATGAGGGCAGAAAATGCTGTGCATTTTGAAAACAGCATAAACCATAAAATTACCTACAATGACCAACAAGTTGCAATTATGACTTGAGGGATGACAATGGTATTAACTAATGGCCCAAAAACAAACATTCCCAACTTGTAAATAATCTATATAGGTACTAAAGAAAATAACTATCATGACAGGTAATAGGTACTTTGCCCTCAAATGACAGTTACATTTTCTAATAAAAAAACAAGTTACATCCCATGTACGTGTGATATGTAAATTACTTAACCATTTTGAAGAACAGAATGTAGTACTTCCATTATACTTATTGTTCAAGCGAAGCTATAATTTGACATTGGCACCAATGTGCTTTTACCTGTGGATGTAGTTTTCCCTATTAGTCGGCAGGTCGTAGTTGATAACTAGGGACACCTGCTGGACATCAATACCTCTGGCCTGGGGGGGGAAGAAACATAATGGCTGTTACGTCAAATAGGCATTTGTAGCCATATAGCACAAAAGTAGCGGAATGACCGATGTCAAGCATCAACTTTATACTTCATTTCAGATTGTCATCACATCAAAAAATTATATTTTAAACAAGGACAAGACAAGAGTGTGTTCTGCCAATTAGTTGCAAGTCAAGGATTTAAACCTAGCCACAGTGGAGGGCAGATAGGATTCTTTACCAAGGAACATTCAGTCCTGCACCAGCACTGCAGATGGGAGGAGAGGGAACCTTGGACTGCACACAATACTCTTCAAGGCTAATCGTACATTGCTCGATAGTCCTTGCTTTAGTTTTACAAATGCAGAGTGGATGTTTAAGAAAGCAAACTTAAGATGTTTACTCAACCACTACTTTTATTACTCTGCTTTACTGGAAAGACATAGCTGAATCAGTGCATGTACATGTATGCAGTGTTTGAGATACTGCGGTCAAAAGTATGAGCAGAAACTGTAACAGGGCGTTTTTGTACATACCAGCAGGTCAGTGGTAATGAGGACTCTGCTGGAGCCAGAGCGGAACTCCCTCATGATCAAGTCTCTCTCTTTCTGGTCCATGTCACCATGCTACAAGATTGGAAGATACAAGGAGACAAAGTCAAACCTACAGTACACTCAACAGTATGAGCAGAGTAATAAAGAGATCTAATTTACGGTTTAGAGGCATCAGAAGATTAAACTTATCAACTACATTTCCAGCAGTTTAGTGATAAATTTACCACACCATGAATAAAGATTGTGCACAAGAATTGAGCCAATTGAAATTTGTGATCCCTGCCAGCTTAACATCCTGTGTCAGCAAAAACATTTTTGCCCAAGTGACAGTGCTGACCAGTGGGGCCTTAATATAAAAAGCAAAAAGAGTCACCTGCTGGATTCAAGATACTTCCAGCTAAAAATGGCAACCTAAAGCATTCACCTTCAAGAACAAATGGCCTTGGCTGGATTCAAAGCAGTTAACAGTTTAGGATAAAAGTGGACCCCTTACCAGAGCAGAGACCGTGAAGTCTCTGGCATGCATCTTCTCGGTGAGCCAATCTACTTTCCTCCTTGTGTTGATGAAGATGACCGCTTGTGTGATGGTCAGGGTTTCATAGAGGTCACACAGTGTGTCCAGCTTCCACTCCTGAGGACCACCGACAGGTCAGACAAAGCCAGCATAAGCCAAAGCAGTTCATGTATACAAAGCATGACCTTCAAGACTTGTGACGCCATCACAATTGCAGTTTATTAAGTAAACCTAGCAAATTGTAATGCAGTCCAATACAACTCCCACAATAAATGCAACCTTCATAAAAGCTAAAAGATTTAGTGTGGATGCTAATGCTGACTCTGAATGAATGAATTCAGCATTTTTTAAATCACATGCATTTTTGCAGGAAATGAATTTTCTAGTTTGTTGAAACTGTTGTCCAAAAATAATCAGATTAATGTAGTTTGTGGTGCTGTATAAGACAGCAGTCGTGCTAGTTAGGGGACTACAGGGCATCCTGGTCATCTTGTACACAAAGTAAACTTAAATGTGACCATTGTCAGACTCCTGTCTAGTTTGCCAACTAAACACCATATCAACTGGAAAATGTTTTGCCACCTCTTTCTCCACATTGATGTAGAACTGGCGGATGCCCTCAAGAGTCAGCTCCTCCTTCTTCACCAGGATTCGGACAGGTTCACGCATAAACTTCTTTGTGACCTCCAAAACGTCGGCTGGCATAGTGGCCGACAGTAGGACAACCTTTATTTATATATGTATATATTAAAAAAAAGGAAGGCTGGTTAAAAATTTATCGGAAATCCCTCAAGGGTGTCTTGCATGAGCCATGTGATTCAGCTCTTACCTGTGTGCTGCTTGACAGTTTCAGGAAGATATCATAGATCTGGTCCTTGAACCCTCGACTAAGCATCTCATCAGCCTCGTCGAGCACAAACATTTTGATGTTCTTAGAAGCTGGAAATGAATGAAATAAATAACCCAGACAACATACATTTGTTTGCTGTACTGAGGTTTCAAAGGCTGGGTGCATGTCTCCAGGACCAACCAAAGGACATGCTGATGGGGAATTGTTGATACTACACAATCACAACGTTCACCGTTATTATACCCCTTTATGTCGAGGTTTCCCCTCTACGGCTATAATTCTGTATGGGCAGAATGTAGGGAACACAAACGCATTTCAAATACAATGGCAACAAAATAAAGTGCAGCATTTGTCAATTTAGCAGAACAGATACATTTACCACTAAAATTAGCTTTGCATTATTTAATGCATTAGATATTTGTTTTTAAAGGAAACAAACTGTCCACACAAAGTTCACAGGAATGTTGTCTAGTTGTTGCGACTAGTGAGAGTAGACAAAATTGGAGTCTAATGTTTAGTCTCGTCTCAACAGAATGTTCTTAAAGCACAGAAAACTCCCGTTCAGATGGGTGCTGTATTCAGAAGAAAGGATTTGATCATATCTCTGGACCCCTGCTGCACTGAGGACTGAAGCTAGCAGAACACCAGCTAGAGCAACACCACAATGAGGGTTTACAGAGTCAGCTGACACGCATGGAATCATCATTATACAGCAGTTCTTTGTGCAACCAACTTTAAGGGCTGTCAAAATACATTGCAATACGCAAAACTGTATTAATAAAATAAAAAGTCAACCTACAGACAGCTCAGTATTTGTCATAATTCACATGATTACTTACAGAGGTTTCGGCGAGTTAACATGTCAAAGACACGGCCAGGGGTTCCCACCACAATGTGAGGGGCTTCAGCCAACAGCTTTTGGACTTCAGTGCGAATGCTGGTCCCACCAATACAGGCATAGCAACTGGCTCCCATGTAGTCACCCAAAGCCAGGACCACCTTCTGGATCTAAACAAGAAAAGTTTCACGCTTTAGGAAACTAAAAACTGTAAAAGTTCAAACATGCCAGATTTTGACTGAGATCAAAACAATTTACAACTTAGCAAAGACAATCCCCTTCCTTTCTTAGGAGCAAAAACATCACGTAGTACACATGTAAACATAAGCTGTATTCAGAAGTGATTTATGATCATGTCCGTGGACCCCTGCTGTGCCATGGACTCAAGCTGGAAGAACACCAACAAGAGCAACACCACACCAGGGGTTTACAGAGTCAGTTGACACGCATGAGTTTCATCATTATACAGCAGTTCTGATTGTACCTGACACCATGTATTATTAGCCTGGCTGATATAAAATTACATCAAATGGTGAAAAATGCTACAGCCATAACCCCATTTAATCTATTCCATCACTCAAATAGTCTTATGGCAAATAATATTTGGCAGGACATAAGTGGAATATACAGACACTTGTCTACACTTGTTGGCAATAACTGCCACCCAGTCATACCACTTGGGAGTAACAGGTTACAAAATATACCAAAAAAAAAATGCACATTTTGATGCTAAAATAATTACTTCAAATACACATAGTACAGGATGTGCTCTGTGGATCAAAAACACACCACACCTCTCAAACAGGCAATCCATCAAGAGTAGTTTTGACCCCCCCCACCCACTACTTTTGTTTGACAGTGAACCTACCTGCTGAGCCAGTTCTCTGGTGGGAGCCAAAACCAGGGCCTGAGTGTCTTTCAGCTCCACATCAATCTGCTGCAGGATGGAAATGGCAAAGGTGGCAGTCTTCCCAGTGCCAGACTGGGCCTGAGCAATCACATCGTAACCTTAAACAAAAAAAAAAAAAAACCCAGAAACATGTTCTTTACAAGACTTATTCAACTACCATAGTGTACCCAGAGAAAAGGGAACTGAAAACTAAAGAAAAACACTTCACTATAAATTGACACATCAGAACACAGTCAAATAAAAACCCATAAACCTTTAATTCCATCTTGAGTAACTTCAAGACGCAATATGTACAAGATTAGTCCAATGACCCAGCGCCAGGAATTATGAATTTAAGTACAAGCAACACATTTCATTTTGTTACTTTATCAATTTGTTAAAAGCCAATATGCAACCCAAATTTCAATACCCCTAGACAACCAGCAGGGGGAAAACAAAAAAACAAACCCAAGCCTAGACTTGACCAGAATTTATAATTTCCACATCTAGGTGAAGTTTTATAAGAAACTTCTACATGGGTTCTCTCTTCTTTTGGGTTAGTCTGTTTTATAAATAGGGGACTGAGGGCTTGAATAGAAGTTCTTTAAGCAAGACCAACTGTTGAATCCTTAATTTGTGCTGAAAAACAGCCCATTTATAGATTTAAAAAACCCACACATTTAGTTGCATTTTCAAATCTCAGGTCAGGACAGCAATCGCTAATGTCAAGATATAATATCAAAATCTTATCTTGTGTTTATGCATTTCATTATCAATATTATAGTTAATGTGGCCATATAGCAAGTATGCCAACTTGACCTGGGACATTTCTCTTCCATTCTGTCAGAAGTGAGCCTTTGGTCCTGACAATGTGGTGTAGAGCAGCCCCCTAAACTTGGCTTCATAACTTTAAACAGAACCTGCATCAAATCTCATTTTGGCTGTCAAACCATTGCGTCGTTGTACATAGCAATACAGGATAACAGCACGGATCCACTAGCTCTGCTAAAGCACACACTCTTAAGTGACTTTGTTGACAAATCCAGTTGTTTACATGTTATGCAGTTCTGTTACCTACAGTACTGCGGCAGTCTGTACAGACTGTCTGAGAGGTGACTTCAAAAAACATTGAAGATTTGGTCTAAATTAGTGAAGCAGTTTGACTGAAAAAAGTCTGCTACAGCCATGATATAGGGCGAGCACTGATCAACTCCAATAGGAGGCAGTAATACACCTTTAAACAGTTTGCTCCCCCATAGACTCAATATTTATTATAACAGGGGTCAAATCATTTTCCTAGCAAGGCATTTCGTCATCGTCACTCACTTTCTCAGATGGTGCAGAAGTACTGCAGGTGTGCTGTTATTAGGTGGAGTAATAAATATACTGTATTCTTAAAAGGTATGGTGTGTATACACAGTAATATTTATTGATATAAGCATAAACATACTTAAACACAAGCACATGACAAATTAAAAAACAAGACTGGGCTGCTTCCTGAAAAAGAACACTGCCCCAGCCAAGCTTCCAAGACTACACATGTTAAAAACAATTAAATGACCTTTGTGTACAGGTGCAACTTATTTGTCTGTTTATCTACAGAACTGAAAAGTCTTAAAAAAAAAAAAAAAAAAAAGTCAGTGGATATTTATACACAGCAAAAGAGGGCATTTAGAGTTTTCTTTAGTAAAGCCATGTTCCACTTACCCTTGATACAAGGGACAATGGCTCTCTGCTGGATAGCGGAAGGCTTCTCAAAACCATAGGCATAAATTCCCCTGAGCAGAGTCTCGCGCAGGCTCATCTCATCAAAACTGTCCACAATCTGATTCCAGTTGCTCTGGAGGGGGGCAAGACAAACAAGGTAACAGATTCAGACACATGCACTTTAACATACACGCAAATCTGCACGACAGTAAGAGGTTCCGTACTGCTTCCTCAAAATATCTTTGACATGTAAGGGATGAGACTGACTATTGTAAAGGTTTTTACTCACCTCGATGATCCCATCTGGCTCCATGCCCTCTGGGCCATTGTCTCTGATAATCACAAGACAAATCAATCCACAATTTAAACATTTGACCAAACTGGATGAATGAAGAATGAAAAACAAAAACACTGCCCATTGTCCAATTCTGTACAACCACTCGTAAGACGACGTGTGTTAGGTCATATTTGTTAATCTTTTGAGAAGCCTTCATAACTAAGTTTGTATTTCGAGGTCATATGCTATGACCTAAACACCATTTCCGGTCAGATGAATTGAGAGTTAAGATTTGTCGTTCTATCGCCGCTTGTAGGCAAACGCCTTTTTCACGAGTCCGCCATTTCTACTACATTCATTCAAGATGGTCGTTTCTCCAGTCAGGGCTGAAAAGTCGAAAGCGAGTCGATGGGAACAACGGCCACAGCTAGCATTCAACATGAAAATTATTTCTGACTTAACAATAACCAATTGTGATTGGCACATTTAATTGTGTGGTTCGATAGGAAATGTGCGCTAGTAATAATAAAAAGCTCGGATGGTTGTAGCCCGGCCCGCTGAAGCCACTGCCAACAGGCCTGTCTCTCTTCATGTGGCCTTTTTATAGAACGCGTCCAGTCAGCGAAACCTTTTAACGATTCCAATGTTACACTGATACAAACCAGGCACATGCTTCATGAAGATAGCATACACCTCACCCACAGCAATGTTAGAAGAAAAGCTTCCAACCGCACTTAGCGGCCTACGCTACCGGCATTGTCCAACCCGCCGATTAATACTACCACGACCATGTGCGTCCTATGTAAAAAAAAAATAAAGAAATGTCATTTGTACCGCCAAATCGAGGGCTTTCTCGTCTGCGGTGTGATAAGCAGGAACTCATCGTTCGTATATACCCTTAAATTTGATATTAATGCACTAGCGACAGAAGCATTTAAAATTTATATTGCGAAGGCCTACACCACGCTCGTTCACGTGCTACCCAGGCGCCGGTTGCCATTTAATTTGCATCAGTCAAGACAAACGGCGATCACAAACATGCATGCCACCTGAAACAAAGTTGTAGTTCATAATTCGGAAAGTTCGCTTTAAACTAACATACGTTCACGGTATTGGTTCATGAAATGTGAAGACCGGTGACTTTAGTCTGAGGCAGGCTTTCGGCAGGCCTTAGCGCCAACGTTAGTCGAGCACAGAATCACCAGCATGCTTCGCTCAATGTCTAACAGTTACTTCGCTCAGTCTTAAAAAAAAAAACCACATATGTTTACATAAACAAGTAAATCGAATCCTGAAATGAGAAATACCCATACAACCATAAATAGTTTTACTCACCTATTATCATATTCAGCCGACATTATTCCAAAGAAAGAAACTGCGGCAGAAATGTCTTATATACGTCGACAACACACAAAGAGGCTTTCTCATTGCAACACATCGCCGTCATTTAGCTATAAGCCCGCCCACATAGGCTTCTGATTGGTCAATTTGTACGTCATATAAAAATAGGCGGACTGTAGCGTCTCGAGTAGTGTACGATTGTGTTACCGTTAGCATTCTAAGGGGGCGGGGGTTACGTTTTATAAGCCAACTGCTTAAGAGCTAACCAAGCTCCTTTCACCCGGGCTACTCCGAGGTAAATATTTTCACTCAGTTCAGCCATTTGTCAACGCAGACAAAAGGCCGGATAGGGCAGATTTTTTTCGTCTGAACCATTCTCGTAATCTTTCTTATTTAGTAATTCAAAAAGTGGAAAATTACAGAAGTGACACATCTCATATCCAGTGATGTAATCTGCACAACATGTAACTGTGGATGAGTCACACTGTAGTCCTCTGTAAAATATCCTAACACAATTCACGAGATAAGCTTGAATGAAATGTGAGTGTGAAGTATTTTCATAGATCATTCCAATCCATATTAGCAGTGGTTCCCAATCCCTTTCCTTAAGGGGGGCCTTTTATATCATTGAGTAAACTGACGAACCTTAACGAAGTTACATATGTTATGGATATTTCATATTTAGATAAAATATACAGTCTTTTTCATGACTATGGCTCTGGATAACATGAGGCAAAATAATATATTAAGTAAAATGTATGTATATTGTAGCTTTTTTATTAGAAAAGTGGCATACTGATTATTATTATTATTATTATTATTATTATTATTATCTCACAGTCATTTATAAATGCAAGATTTCATTCAGATTGGCCTCATCACACATTCATTTCTGTGGTTCAAGACTTTTTTCTGGTTGTTGTTTTCCCAAAAACATTTACTTTAACTGAGTAGTTAGTTACAGGTATTTGCCAATGTTATTATTATTACTACTACGAGGACAACAACGATGATTAATTCAATTCAATTTTATTTGTATAGCACCAATTCATAACAAAAGCTATCTCAGGACATTTTTCAAATAGAGCAGGTCTAGACCATACTCCTTATAAAATTATTTACAGAGACTCAACAGTAGATTACTACTACTACTACCACCACTACTAAGAAATCTGCCTTTCCATGCATACAAATATGTATGCATTTAAAATGTATTAACAACCATACATACTTAATAGGCTTCCTTCTTGACAA